CATACATACATACATACATACATACATACGAACTCAAATATATTATATATAATCAGGAGTCTATCAATAGCCACTGCGCATTTTTTCGCATTTATCCATTTTGTTGCGAGAATTAACCAGACTAACTTCGTCTAGTCTGCACAATCCCAATCCTAGTTTAACTACACTAAAATCTAAAACTATAACTAGTAGGGAGTGGATAATAGAGATTCTCTAGAGATAATATGTGATAATATATGATATGTGATCAAGGAAAACTGTTCAGGGGCGCGTTTCACTAACGTCCGCTAAAGTTCTCCACTAAGTTCTTCGCTAAGTTCTCCGCTAAGTTCTCCGTTCGCTCTTTAACGAACGGAGGCATAACGGAGAACTTAGCGAACGGACAACTCCTGTTTCACAAACGCTCCGCTATGCCTCCGCTAAATAGTGGAGGAATGCAGGCAGTCAGCTGGCAGATAACTACAAACATGTGTTGCGGTTGCCAGGTTACGTTCTATCATATACATAAGCAACAGCGCAGTGACAGAGATAGCTCTAGAACTAACGCTATGGCAGAGAGGAAGCGCCGACCAAGATTTACTCCCACAGAACTTGAAATTCTTGTTGATGAGGTGTCGGAAAATACTAGTGTTATTTTCGGCAAGTTTTCTTACAGCCTCACGTTTCAGAGGAAAAAAGCGATGTGGAGTAGTATAGCCGAGAAGGTTAGTAAAGGCTGATTGAGCATTCGCTCATTGTTTGTATGCAATATATATGTAGATGAATGGTGGTGTGGGTCGGCCACAATATGTCATATGTATGTTGTCTTTCATACATTACTTGTGTATTATTGAGGGGCATACATACTGGATGGGTTCATTATTAAACTGCTACTTGAATGTATTGCTTAATTGCTTTGACTTTAATGTAACAGGGTTTTATTTTATATTATTGAATATTTTCAAGTTATGAACATAAGCATTTATATTACTAATACTAGCGTGTAAGTCAACGCACACCCTCAATAAAAATTTAAACACTTTTTTCTAAAACTAATGATCATATTGCATTTATTATAGATAAATGCCATAAGCGATATTGAACGGACGGGCGAGGAATACCGATCGAAATGGAGCTACCTACAGAGTGATGTGAAAAACAAGGTTGCACGGCGTAAGAAGGCTAGCAGAGCTACTGGCGGAGGTGTCGTTGATCTGCCAGATTTGACGCCTATTGAAGAAAAGGTGCTTAGTATTATTCCGACAGCAGCCACAGAAGGCATCGCTGGTGGTATAGAAAGCGGGATAGCGCATGACGCTCCTGCTTCACCCGAAGCAGCGTCACCTGCTCGGTCTCAATCATCTCAATCATCTCTGTCCTCCCAGTCATCCCAGTCACAGCCAGCTTCACCAGCACCAACACCGATGACACCCGTACCGCCACAGTCATTGCTACACGAGGAGTTAACTCAGGGAGGATGGGTTAAGTCAGAAAAGAAAAGAAGGCATATAAAGGTAGTGTCATCTAATGAACTGGTGTCTATTGAAAGACAACGACTATGGGTGGAAGAGGAGAGGTTGGAAACCAAACGGCAGCGACTGCGCGTGGAAGAAGAACGACTTGATGTAGAGAAGCAGCGACTAGAATTGGAAAACGAAATATTAGATATGAAGAGGTGGGCATGGATGGGGGAGCAAGGCACGAGTGAAACAGCTGATGTCACACAACATAGAGTGAGCACCTTGTAAAGCGTAGAAGCGAAAAACAAAACACATGTATTTTTGCATTTATATATTATGTACTTCCATCATTTATATATTGTATGTTATTTGTTATCTATCCTATAATGTTATTATCTGTCGATCATATGTTATCACTTATCTATGATACAATGTTATAATTTATCTATCATGTAATTTCATCATTTATCCATCATATATTGTTATTATATATATATATATATATATATATATTATATATATATATATATATATATATATATATATATATCATATAATCAAGAGCCTATATATAAGGTATTATAAGCTGTTGCTATGTTATTTTATATATCAATATTTTTTCATATTTATGTACAATCAAGAAACGCACAATTAACAAATCAAAAGTCGTAATAATAACCATAATACACACTGTAAATCATTTCAGAAATTCTACTTGCCACTGCTCAAAATTCATACATTCTTTAGTTTACTCCAAAATATACTAGTTAGCATTAACTCTAAGTATGAGACTTGTGTAATAATCTTTAACAAAGACGTATTTTGTTGACTGCTATATAATATACTCAGTTTAGTATTACAATATAATTAAAATAATATAAAAGATTTTCATCTTGTTTTTTAGTTGTAAAACCAGTATGTTTACGTTTGCACTTTTACATTGCAAATCTCTGTTGTATCAGCTGCTCCCGCACACGCCTCCCATCTGCATTGTCATTAGGTCTCTCGCCCACATTAATATCGTCACCTCCGACTTCAGCCTCATTCTCATCAGGGGGGAGAGGGATCTTCTCTCTTACTGCAATGTTATGTAGTACAGCGGTTGCCATAATTATCCGACATGCTCTGTCCGGGGTATATACCGTAGTGCTCCACCGGTAGACAGCTGTAGGCATCGGAAGCGTAGTTTCCACACACCAAATGGACATTCTATTTTGTACCGTGTGCCCTTATAAGCACGGTTAATTATATCTTCGTTCCGATTCTGTATTTGGATTCAGGATAGGTGTCATGAGATATGGTCGAAGTGGATACCCACTGTCACCAAGCAGCCAACCGTCAATGTTTCCCGTTGCGAACGTATTTCGAATGTGTGAGTTTTGGAAAACAAAAGAGTCGTGACTACTGCCGGGCCAGCGAGCCAGTTGACATATTCTAGGTTAGCGCTGCATATATGCCTTGCACGTTTATCGAGTGGTACTGTTTTCTGTTGACGTATATATGTTCATCATACTTAGGCGCAGCTATTGCAATGTGTGTCCCATCAACACATCCACGTACGTTAGGAAATCCAGCGACGCTGTAGAAGTCCAGTTTTAGTTTGTTCACACTGCCTTGATCTTCAGGAAAGTAAACATGCTGGTTGGCGTGATTTGCCAGTGCTCGTGACACTGTAAATTATTCTTGACAGCGATGCCTTGCTGATTCCCAGTGGATCGCTAGCCGTTTGCTGAATACTTCCTGTTGCGTAAAATCGTAGTGCCGTAAACACTTGCAGAGAGGTAGGTATGGCCCTAGATCTCATTGTTCTTGGCGAGATCGAGCTCTTCTTCAAGTTGACCCACTAGATCACCAACAACATGCCTAGAGGCAATCTATATCTAGCGATTATTTCAGTGTCATTGTTTGCATCAAACGGATGCGTTCTGTCTCTAAAGATTCTTTCTCTTCGCAGACGTCTTCTTGCATGTTCTCTATTATAGGCTGCATAAAATAAAAAGTTTGCCATTATTCTCGCTACGCCCTCGTGCTCGCAGTTGTGGCATCGACGATGGGAACACTCCTAATGGAGCGTTAGCCTTACGCATTGTAGTGACGTGTTTTTGGGGGTACGTGCTAATTACTGTAGCATCGTGTGCCACATGCTCCGAACTCGTTATACGTGCTAACAAGAACTGGATCGGTGGCATAAACAATCATTGCAATACATACATGCATGGTAAACTAGTTACACAACCTTTGTCATACTCCTAGTGCAGAGTTTAAACAAATTCTTTTTCCCGATAACATGCACGATAAACAGCCAAGACTATTTTTATTACGAAAGCTCTTATTTCATGGTAGTTTAGTGCGAATTTTGTATTTTTATGGGTTTTATATACACCATAGAGTGCTCCGCTAAATTTAGCGGGACTTACAGAGCTCCCGCTAAAGTTGTCCGCTGAAATGTGCTAAACAGCGAGCGACTTTAGCGAACGGAGGTTCGTGAAACGCGTCCTCCGCTATTTAGCAGACAACTCGGGAGTTAGCGGAGGAGATGGCGGAGAATATAGCGAACGGAGCTTTGTGAAACGCGCCCCAGAGCTACAAAACAACTATTAAAGCAAAACGAAGATATCCGTTACCCACATTATGAGGATAAGTCTGTGCTCGCTAACGATATCGGGCACTTCTTCGTTCAAAAGATTATTGACACAGACAACGCTCAGCAGCAGCAGCATACAGCATGTGGTGGAACTAACCGGAAACGACGCACCTGCAGTTGTATTCGAGGAGTTTCAGCTACTATCGCCGGAACAAGTTAAAAATTATATAAACAATTCATCAAAAAGACCTGCGCGTTGGATCCAATGACAACCCCATTAATTATCAATTGCATTGACGAGCTATTACCTGCTCTAACTAAGATGGTCAACTGTTCTTTAGATACAGCTACATTTTCTGAGGACTGGAAAGAAGCACTCGTGATACCCTTGTTGAAAAAACCGGGCCTTGACCTTGTTTTTAAAAATTACCGCCCAATCAGCAATCTCACCTATGTGTCTAAACTGACGGAGAAAATAGTATTTGATCAAATTTACAATCACATGACCGTGAATGAACTGTTCCCGATCATGCAATCAGCGTACAGGAAACAACACAGCACTGAAACGGCACTGTTAAAAGTTAAGAACGACATATTAATGAACATGAACAACCAGCAAGTTATACTCTCCTTGTGCTTTTGGATCTCAGTGCTGCCTTCGATACTGTCGATCATGATATTTTACTCAAGAGCCTTCAGTCTAGGATTGGCATTACGGGCAAAGGACTCGACTGGTTTTCATCCTATTTGTCACACAGTGCGGGTCAATACGTGGGACTTTATCAGACAGCTTCGACTGCAAGTGGGGTGTTCCACAAGGCTCATGAATGCCTAGGGTCTCTTCTCTTAAACATATATGCATAAAAAATTCTCAATATTTGAAGCTCATCTTCCGGATATCGGATATCCACTGCTATGCTGATGACTCCCAACTGTACCTATCCTTCAATCCAAATTTTGCTGCCATCCAGGAACAGGCTGTCTCTGCGATGGAAACCTGTATAAAAGATATCCGTGACTGGATGCTTGCTGATCGGCTAATGTTGAACGACGACAAGACGAAATTCCTCATCATATGTACCCGGCAACAACTGTGCAAAGTGGACATTGATCATATCACTGTCGGGAGTTGTAACATTTCGCCAGTATCCGTGACCAGAAAGTTGGGTTGCTGGTTTGATTCGTGGCTAACGATGGAGACTCATGTTTCCAAACTCTGCAGTACTTCATTTTTCCATCTTCATAATATTAGAGGAATCCGAAAGTTTCTTTCTATGGAATCAACAAAAATTCTAATTCAATCATTCATTACTAGTCGTGTTGATTGCTGCAATAGTTTACTTTATGGGCTGCCCCAGGTACAACTGAATAAGTTACAGCGAGTCCAAAATGCAGCTGCTCGGCTTATCTGCAATGTATCCAAGTTTGATCATATATCACCTGTTTTATATCATTTGCATTGGCTGCCAGTCTATTTCTGTATAGAGTTTAAAATACTACTCATCACTTTTAAGGCATTACATTGTATGTCACCAGATTATATCAGGGAATTAGTCACATTAAAGAAACCTAATCGGTACAGTCTGCGCTCTGGTAACCAAATGTTAATTGAGCCACCAGCTGTAAAAACGTTGGCTACACTTGGCGATCGAGCTTTCTCATCAGCTGCCCCAAAATTATGGAATATTTAAAGCTAACTAGTCATATTAGATGTGAAAAGTCGCTGGAATCTTTTAAATGCCTAGTCAAAATTCATCTATTTAACATTGCATTTAACACATAGACATTATATTTTTATGTGTACATTTGATTTGAGTTCTATTTTATTGAAAATGTTATATTATTGTTGTTTTTAGGATCTATATTTTACAATGTTGCAGTCCGCTATTTATAATCAGGAATTGTTATAGGATTGTCGTAATTCAAGTATCTATATTTTACAGTGTTGCAGTCCGCTGTTTTATAATCAGCCTTTGTAATGCGCATGTGAACATATCTGCATGTAAAGGGGTGGACACACTAGGCAATTTTTCATGCGATCGGGCCGGCCGACCGAGCCGGCCGGCTCGATCGCATGAAAAATCGCGTAGTGTGTCCAGTGAGTCGCGGTCGATTTTCGAGTCGGCCGGCCGAGTCGCCCGATTCAAACATGTTTGATAATTATTTGAGCCGGCCGGCTGCAATCGCCTAGTGTGCCCGGGTCTGCGATTGAGCCGGCCGATTGTACAATTCATCAGCCAATCAGCGTGCTGAAAATCCCCCGAGTCACCCGTGCTGAGTCGCCCGACTCAGTTGCGTAGTGTGTCCACAGAGTCGCTCGACTAAGCAGGCTGGCTCGATCGCATGAAAAATCGCGTAGTGTGTCCACAGCACAATATAAATAAATAAATATTGTTATTATTAATAGAGATCTATTATAGAGCCGAGCCCTCAGGCTGTGAGGGTCTATGTTCCCCAGGGTACTGCCGGAACGTACCCTGGTACTATCTAATATGCCGGACCGTACCTCGCCTACTCCACTAACGAGTCTAGGGAGTCGCCTACGCCTACTCCCTAACTTACTCCCTAACCCTAATCATATCAAATAGTTACCAGGGTACGTTCCAGTATACCGGACCGTACCCAGGGTACGTTCCGGCAGTACCCTGGAAGACACAGACCCTATGAGCAGTACTCAGTAGGCCTAGTGCAGTAATGGTGTGGTGTTACCTTCGCATGCTGCTTGTCAATCCTAGCCTGTCCACCGCCGAGAAGAGCCGCCTCCCTCTTTGCTTTTACAGTGTTCCATACTGATATGTTATGCGCAACTGTGCACCATCGTTTCGTGCCAATACTATTCAATGAATGCTGCAAATTTGTGTTATTTCGCACAAGCAATCTTACAAAACTGCAAATAGCAGCCATTTCGACCTCCGCACTGCAATCGCAAACGTTTGGCTATGGATAATGGTTTGAGCCAAGGAGGTTTGAGCTATGCCAGGTTTGAGCAAGTTACGAATGGGAGTCCTATCCACTCTCGCAACACAGATATTATGGGTGAATGTGTCAGTATCTACCGCACAGTCTACAGTAACAGTCTACGTTAAATACGTTTTAGAGTATTATAATACCTACGGTACTAATATATATTTTACCAGGAATTAATGAGTCTCATTGTTTGTCTCATTAACTCCTGATTTTACGGTTACACACAACGTGACAACATACATACAATGTGCGCATATGAATTATTTCTACCGATAGATGGCGCGAGGATGTCATATTTGACAAGATATTGCCGACGATATCTCCTCTGGGCGCGATCTTTGGCGCGAACTGCGTGTGTATGCAGGGGCGTGTACAGGATTTGTACCAGTGGGGGTAAAACCGTAACAGAAACTTGCAAGCACACGAAGGGGGGGGGCAAATTTTGAAATTAGACCTCCTTAGATGCGTTTTCTGCGCGAGCAGGGGGGGGGGGCGACCCCCCTGTACACGCCCCTGGTATGCACACCAGTTTGCGAGATAAATGTATTTATCATGTAGTGCAGGGGGTAGCGGAGTATATTATAGATTAGCCTGTGCGCGGGCTACACTTTTTTTTGGCCAAGTTTATTTTTTTTTGTTAAGCACCATAATTAATCGCATAAGCTTGCTATGAGCGAGTTTAGCGTGCAGACAGAAAAAACTATGAAATGAACGTGCAGAATATGGCTAATTAGGTGCGGTTATTGCTTCTGTCATCTAGGCTGTCATTTCTATCGCGGTGAGCTTCATCTTTATAATTACTCTAGGCCGAAAAGATAGGATCGCGGATCTTTGTCAGATTTTTTATCATTTTACCTCCGTCTTCGGTGACAGACTATTTTTCAGTCGTTGTTTTTTTGGGGTTTAAAAGTGATATTGATGAGGGTGGTATCAAGTTAGCAAGAGGGCAGGAAGAGATGGAACACTCGGGAGGGCGTTTCGGCCATCTGGGGGGGTTTGTAAACCAAAGATTTTCTGTACGCCCGCGCCCCCGATGGTGGCGCTCGTCAATATTTGGGTGGGCGTAGAAACTTTGAAAGTGCTTGGGGTACGCCACTGGGTGTGTGTGTGTGTGTGTGTGTGTGTGTGTGTGGTGTGTGTGTGTGGGTGTGTGTGTGTGTGTGGTGTGGTGTGTGTGTGGTGTGCGTGGGTGCGCGCGCGGGTGTGTGTGTGTGTGTGTGTGTGTGCAGTGCGTGTGCGTAGCGTGTGTGTGGTATGTGTGTGTGTCTTTTATATTAATCAATAGTGAATTATCAGGAGGAGGCCAGTGGCGGGAAAGGATTGAGAGAGAGAGAGAGAGAGGGATGAGAGAGAGAGAGAGGAGAGAGAGAGGAGGAGAGAGACGAGGAGAGAGCAGAGAGAGAGAAGACGAGAGAGGACGAGGAGAGAGAGACGAGAGACGAGAGATGAGAGGAAGAGAGAGAGAGAGAGAGTAGAGAGAGAGAGAGAGAGAGAGAGGAGAGAGAGAGAGAGAGAGGAGGAGGAGAGGAGGAGAGGAGAGAGGAGGGAGAGAGGAGAGAGAAGAGAGAGAGAGAGATGTGAGAGAGAGAGAGAGAGCAGGGAGATCTAGAGAGACGAGAGACGAGAGGATGAGAGGGAGAAGAAGGAGAGGAGAGGAGAGAGAGAGAGAGAGAGAGACGAGAGAGAGACGAGAGAGAGGAGAGAGAGAGAGAGAGAGAGAGAGAGAGACGAGAGAGAGAGAGAGAGAGAGGAGAGAGAGGAGAGAGAGAGAGAGAGGAGAGAGGAGAGAGGAGGAGAGAGGAGGGGAAGAGAGAGAGAAGAGAGAACAGAGAACGGAAGAGAGTGAGAGAGAGAAGAGATGGAGAATTGAGAGAGAGAGGAGGAGAGAGAGAGAGGAGAGAGAAGGGAGAGAGACGAGAGAGAGCAGAGAGAGAGAGACGAGAAGGGGAGAGCAGAGAGAGAGAGAGGACGAGAGACTTGAGAGAAGCAGGAGAGAGAGAGAGGAGACTAAGGAGAGAAAAATAAAAGAAATCAGAGCAGAGAAATAAATACATGAGAAAATACATTGAACACACACACACACACACACACACACACACACACACACACACACACACACACACACACACACACACACACACACACACACACACACACACACACACACACACACACACACACACACACACACACACACACACACACACACACACACACACACACACACACACACACACACACACATGTATGCACTCACACACGCGCGGGCGCGTGCGCGCGCGCTTACACCCTACTATAACCGAAGCTAGCTGCCTACCTATATGTTGCGGGTATATCAGGAGTAGATAATATGGAATTATTATCTACTATATATCCCTATTATCTACTCCTGATATATACCTGTTCAAATTCTGGTGATTGAATATAAATAAATAAAATAATAAAACACAGGCTTAATTTCTCCTTTGTAATTAAATGTTATTAATATAATGTGTATTTGATATAATGATTTTAATATTTATAAAATAAAATGTTATCAGGATGACATTATGATATTACTACATGATCAACAATTATTACATGTTTAATGATATTTGTCATTATTAACCCCTGATGTTATTAGGGGTTATTATGTGTTTGATATAGTGTTATTTATTTATTTTTTTACTGAGATCGAACAATATATGCTCATATAGAACAATATAATCAGGAGTGAATAATATAATAATTTGTATAGTAGAATAATAGTAGAATAATAGAATAATTTATAGTAGAATAATAGAATAGATTATTTGTTATTATTCACTCCTGATATAATGTATATATTGTTCTTAGATTATGATTATATCATAGACTAACAAAAACTATATATAGTTCGTTTATGATTAGCAAATTCAGAATGGCAAATTCAGTGGTCCAAATAATGCGATACAACGCCCCCTACAAACGCCTGCATCGGCAGGCGATCAAATGAGTTAGAAGTTCCATGTGGTTGCAGTTACATATGTCTGTGATGAAACTGAAGAGGTTTTTGGTTCGATATTTCCCACCAGGTACGTGGTTTCTGACTTTTCGTTTAATAACGGCGATTTTGTGTCTAATACAAGCTATATACGGTGTTATTTTATTACCAGATTACGAGATTACTAGATTATTTGGGTGATTTATTATTGCAATATTGGGGAGAGGGTGGTTAGAGTCTCTAGCAACGACTCGTTGAACGAGCGGCAGCACATGGACCACATGCCGCATTGAATTTTCGGAGTGGCTGGAGGTACGGCAGCCGTATCTCCAATTTACGATGCTGCAGGTACGGCAGTCCATTTGCGCATGCTTCGCTTTCCCACAAAATAATGCCGTTGGGAATTAATTCACGATTTAAGAGTTTAGATGAGCTAGAAAACACTGATTAATAAAGTATTAAAGGTACCCTGCCTCGAAGTTTCAATCAGCAAACATAAAATAAGGCAAAAATTGATTATTTTATATTTCCGATATATCGAACCATACCCAGGGTGCCCTCCGATAGTACCCTGGGGGACATAGACCCTATCTGCTATCAGCATAGCTGTGCTGATATGTGACCTGCGTCAAATCTTGCCGCCATGATACAGAACCGCGGCGAAACACGTTTTTCGAGTTGTTTTTTCGTTGAGGGAATGTTAGCTTGATATACATATTTTTACAGTTTTGGTTTCAAAGCTAACGTTCAGTTAAAGTGTAGTGAGTTATATTTACTTAGGTTTTTACAGTGGTTTATTACAAAAATTTACGTGGGAATCCATCTTTAAGTATTAAAATGAACATTATTCATTATTGTGCAAGCTAGCCTACACCAGTTGGTTGGTATTGATTGTCAGTTCAGATGCAAAAGATTGAAAGCAAAAGGTTATACACCATAGATTAATACGCCCCCGTAAATACACTTTCCTACTGGACATGCAATATGGCGGCACCTGACTCCGAACCCCATACCGCGCCCGCCTGTACTGTGTGTACTGGCGCATTGTATACAGCTGTTAACCCCCCCTCCACGCATATGCTAGTACGCTATAGGCGGCAGGAAAGTGTATTAACTCATATCTCGCAAACGAGTTGTGTTATAATTCTAGAATTCTACATGTAAATGCTATAATCTCTGTGAATATTGAGTTTATTGATGCACGATTAGTCTAATGAATCTGCAAATATGCATGCACTCATACGCTAATATACGCACCGCTATAGGCGGCAGGAAATATCTTGAGAACGAGTTGGGTTATAAATAATTATTCTAGAAATCTGGATACATATATATATAGACACATATCTTAGCTATAACCTCTGTGAATATTGAGTTTATTGACGCACGATTAGTCTAATGAATTTGCAAATATGTGCGTGCAGTATCGCCCATAGGCTAATATACGCACCGCTATAGGTGGCAGGAAAGTGTATTAACTCCCATATCTGGAGAACGAGTTGGGTTATAATTCTATAATTCTACATGCATATAGACACATGTCTTAGCCATTTAAGCTCTGTGAATATATTGGGTACCTCCAGCCACGGCCTTGGATTTTTTGGTATCTCATAAATAACATTTATTTCTTCGATCTAAATTAGTCTTTATATTCTTTCTTTTATCCCTTTGAAAAACGTATAAAAGGTCTGTTGACTCTTTTATTCGTATTTGATATAGGTTTTAAAACTTTTTTGGCCATGTACTTAAATTCTAACAATGGAGCGGATCCATGCCCATGCGGGTTATTCCCGGTTGGCCTACTCAGTACTCACATTTCGTCTACGGCGATATTCCCATTTCGTCTATAGCAAAACTCCCAGTTGGTCTACACCAATTTCGCCTACTCCCAATTTGTCTACACTAAAAATCCACCCCATTCCCATTTTGTCTACCATCAGTTTGTCCACTAAATAATCATTTGTAAATATAATGTATGGTTTTGATTAGCATGTACATAGACTAGACGGAGTGGAATCTACACTAATTTCTCCTGGTATTTGTTGTAATATATCAATACTACGACGAAATGGCACTATTAGTATTACCCATTCTGAGAGTAGACGAAATGGGAATATTGCCCGTTCTGAGAGTAGACGAAACGGGAGTAGGCCAACTGGGATGTTACCGCCCATGCCATGGAATGGATGGATGGATCCATGGATGTATGGATGGATCAGAACATGGAACTTGATCCGATCATTGGATGTAGTCCGTGATGATTTTGGATATATATAGTAAAATTCGAATCTGTTCTTTTCAATTAACTTAGGCGAGTCTGCTTGTTTCTCTGTGATTTTGCTTTGCTGCCAGCTGGTATCCTATATTGTTTCAATGATCTTGGGTATATTCACGTACTACCAAGAACATCGGAGAATAGTCAAAACAAGTTTTGTGTGTCTAACAACATTGGTATGGAATTGTATTCATTCGACGTCCGTTCAGATACAGGGTTTCTTATACATAAGAGGCACAGTGGCGCACCCGGACCGCCATTGTGAAAATGTTTCTGTATTTACCCGCCGTTGTCAAAATAGTGTCAACCCAAAAATAAATAGATCACCACGTGTTTCTGGCATAGTTAGAGTCCGTCTTAGTTGATATTTAGAGTTATTCTGGCATATTAATCCGCCTGCAGCATCTGCATGCGTGCCTACAACACGCATTTGATTCCATCACATGCGTTTTTTCCCAAACTGGTCATTATCTCCTTTGTCTAATTTTCTCTTGAGCAGAAGAAAGGCTGAGATATTGCTGTGATAATTTTGTATCGTAGTGTATTGCCACTATTGGACGTTGGCGCCCGTTGGAAGATTGAATCGATCCATAAACCTAGTATTGTATTAATTGTAATGCCTGTATTTGATTATGATTTTTGTATTCAATGTATGTCGTGTCAAAAAACCGACGGTCCGTATTAAAGGACAATTGAAGTCAAATTTCATAACTTCTGTAACGTTTTTATACATAGAAATACATTCAATAACGTATTCCATTTCAAATCCGGCGCACAATTAGTAATAAACACATGAATATTAATCTAGGTTATGTGACGTCACGGACCATTCTGAACGACGACGCCACGCTAAAGCTGAGTGTTGTGTATAAGATGGAGACAGAAAGCAATAATTTCAATGATTCTAGTGATTACTCAGATGATGATGATATTTATAGTGATTTACCAGTTGGATATATATAGGTTTGAGCCTGAATATACACAAGAAGAAATTGAGGAGAATCATCTGAAAAGCAACGCAAAGAGTCGGCACAAACTTCTCAAGAATCAGAACAGTGACAACATGGCAGAATGGAAGCTTCGGTACCAGATAGGACTGTTACAGGCTACATGTTTGTGTCTTGACATGATAAATAAGCATGAGAAATAACAAAAAACATTGAATATTTAACCACCACACGCACTATGTTTACATAATGGTGTCTCTCGAAATGGTTCGTGACGTCACATAACCTTGATAGAGTAACATAAACTATTCAGGTGTTTATTACTAATTGGGCGCCGGATTTGAAATGGAATACGTTATTGAATGTATTTCTATGTATAAAAACGTTACAGAAGTTATGAAATTTGACTTCAATTGTTCTTTAAGTTTTGCTATGTAATAATTCTCGATTCTAGTAAGTGTTTGCACCCCATCAGTCTTTGAATTTAGCCGGGCATCCGACGCCCAAAACGTGTAGAAATATCGGCGGGCATGTAAACATTGAAAGCTTCACTTGCCCGACGGGCTCCTGCTTTAAAAACGCATAAACTATAATACAACTGGAAATTAACTGAAGGTTTTAATTTAAAATCACAAAATGTGAACTCCGGAAATGAATGGCGTAGACTTCTTTACTCGATACTCCAAAAATATTCCTACAAAATCTATGGGCAACTATAGAATGTCATTCGGGTGCGTACATTTTATGGAAGAAGGGTAGTATAGCTCAAAAAGCTTTTCGTGAAGACTGCCCCATGGATATGTACGTTTTTAGTTTTATTCCTTTCAAGTTGTCAGCCGTCTTGTTTCTAGCAAAATATATAAATTGTGGTTTCGTGTTTCTCTTTGAGTGATGTTGAGCTTAACCTTTGCCCATTTGTTGGAAGCCATGTTTCACAATCGAAAAGCATTTAAATGTTTGTTGTTATGTATGAACTACGTGGTTTCATTTCAGTTGCTCTGTATTTAAATCACTGCACTGGATGTCAACTCGGTGTGAGACCCGTTATGAACTAGCTGCAATCATACACATATTGGTAATACATCCCACTCTTTCTAGTCCACTGACATCGTCAAGCTGAGCTATTGCCAGTGGCGTAGACAGGTCCTCAGTTGTGGGGGGGATGATTTGCTGTATACTGCCATGACAATGTATATGAAGAGTGTGCGCGAGTAGCCTTGGCGCAAAGCCCTTAATGGGTGGGGTCCAGGGGCCCTGTCAGGGTGCAGGGGCAGAACCCTTGCCCGAGGTCCAGGGGGCGGAGCCCCTGGAAGCTCTTGGATTTTTAGCAATTTAGAACTTCAAGATGGCCGTTTTTGAGGGGAATTGAAAAAAATTGATATTGTAAGCTGCAATTTTGTGAATTCTAGGGTAATTTTTTTCTTTGGATTCCAAGAGGTTTAATAACACGCACCCCCCCCCACACACACACACACAACCAGTGGCGGATCCAGAAGAAAATGCTAAATATGTGGCCGAACCATTCGAGCTCAAAGGGCACGAAGCGCCCGGGGGGGGGGGTTACCCTCCCATTGTGTGGATCTTGTTGAAAAGTTGCAATCTAAAAGCACTCAATTTTGGACATCTCTATCATAGAATATCAGGATTTTTCCTTTTCAGGGCGTGTCCCCTCCTGGTTTAAGGGGGGGGGGTCTGGGGGATTTGTATGAAAGTAACACCTCTTCGATGCAATTTTTTGCACTATGACGGCCACACTACTTAATACAATCTTCATCACAATAACATCACTGTTGAGTTGAGTATTTTTACCTTTGTGGGACATTCAGACAAAATACTTACTACCAAATCTGTGCTATGTACATGTCTTCACTGGGATTACCAGTGCAGACTTCACCTAGGCTAAAATACCTTTGCCCAGAAAATTCTAGGGGGGGGGGCGACCGCCCGTGCTACGGACAAACTACAGCACTGGAAGTCATCTCCTCTGATATTTTTGATAAAACGTATATTTTACTGAGAACGTTAAAACTGCAAAAAAATATGAGAAAACAACCAGATCTTGAACAAAAACTGCATGTTTTCACCCCTATTATTATACAAATCAGGAATATACTTCCGCGTCGGGTCTCACGCACCCCCATCCCCCCCCCAAAAGTGAGATAAAATAGAATTTTCCCCATTCAAACCCCGTGAAGATTCAACATCCCAACTCTCAATAGATCTATTCTAATTTTGAATAAAGCAAGGATTTAACTTCTCAGTGAGCCAGTAATAAGACTTTGGGGATTTTTGGAAAAAAAATCGTATATGGGAACCCATCCAAATTAACCGTCTGAGTTTCAGTAAAATAATGTCATTCTGGAACGAGTTACAGCCATTTTACAGTAGACTGTATGTCACGATCCATTTCTGTAATAATACATTAGGAGAGTATGAATAGCGATGCGGATTTGTAGATAAATATCCAGTATTTATTGTCTGTACAAGATAATATTATTTTTTTCCCATTTTCTTCCTGAAAGTAGGGGGACGACAAGCCACCCCACCTCAATAAGTGTGGGGGGATATCTACCCCACTCCCCGCCTGATCTACGCCGCCTGTCAGATCTAACACTCAATTTGATCTTCTTGATATGCATACAAATATTCATAATCATAATCTTTGTTAGCCAGTACTCTACAGGTGCCGCGCGAACAATTTTGAAGTGGGGGTGCTCAATTTGTTTACGCTCGACAGTGGCGCATGCAGGTTTGTCGAGCGAGAGTGGTAAGAACGCCGCGGTGGTATGCTCGGGTTCCTCTTCCCAGAAATTTCTGAATCCTTCCTTTTTCCTCCCTGACAAGTAGGGGGGAATGAATTGTACACGGCCATCCTCCCCCCCCAACGTCAATAAGTGGGGGGCGATGGCATCCCCCCCCCCGCTCATCTACGCCCTGGCATTTTGCAGGGTCGTCGCTCCGTCGTACGTCCGTCCGCTTCAGTATTTGGCTACGTTCACGCATATGACTTAGGAACCATATTGACCACATCGTTGACATTGGCGATAGGTTGTTACCTGCTATGCTCCCATATTAAACGTCTCTTTTGGAGCACGCCAGTCAACGTATTTCGACACCCACCTGGGAATTTTTGCCAAAAATGGGAATTGCATTTAGTCAGTTCAGAACCTTACAGCGGATTTCTTGTTCATTTGATCTGGTATTGTGAATGATAACGGCCTAGGGGTTTTGATATTTAAAAAAAATTTGGCAATTATATAGCATATTATATAGACACGCAGATAACAAACAGTCTGTGGTGTCACACTCGTCTGGTTCGTTTTACAAGATTTCATTGACAATATCTTTAATGCAAAATTCCTGCTATGAGCATATTATGATTTATACAATTATTATTATATTATTATTATTATGATATAATGATTTATGCTAAGAAACATCAAAGCGGGTATAGCGCCATCTACCATCACAAATTGTGATTCATTTTGGTTTATAAATTATTTATAATTTATATATAATATTATTTATTATTTTCACATAAAAAATTACACATAATTATCAAGAGTATATAATGGGAGTTCTCCCATATATACTCTTCCCCCATATGCGTTTCTATAATGTACGTCAATGGTTGCTCAATTAAAACTGACTTCTTCTCACTCACTCATTTGTGTCCTTTTTTGTGGTGAGCTACAGTGTCATTGACACTTTCATTAGATGTTAAATTGTTTTAAAATTTACAAGCTATACACGATGCACCTGATATCAAAAGCAATGAAATTTTTCTGTTGTTGCCTGGGGTGGAACAAGAAACTGTGTGGTGACAGTGTGACTGGACATCGTAGGACTTGGTTTGTCAAAAATTTGGTATTATTGTTTATTGTACACATAATAGTTTATACCATTTCTACAAATCACTTAGCCAATGTTGTCTAAACAGTAGTTTGATCATACTATGTCGTTGAATCCTGTGGTCCATAGTTCCATGATTAAAATGTATTGAAAACCCCATGCTGCATGCATCTCTTAATGGTTTTTTTATTTAATACCTTTTTTATTTATTTCAGGTTTAATTATTGAATATGAAAAGAATGGAGGAAAGTTTTCGAGAGTCCTTGATTTGTTAGACTTCACAGCTGAGTATGTTTCTAACTATACCTGGTACTTTTCTGCATCTGATTGTAGCAAACCAGCAACAGCTTGTTCAGAAACCTGAAACATTTCTTATTGCTACACCTGCCGCTATTGCTCTATCTATCTATCTATCCATCCATTCATCTGTCTACCCATGTGCTCCCCCAGTTGGTTTATTCCCGGTTGGCCTACTCCCATTTCGCCTACTCCCAATTCGTCTACGCTCAAAATCTACCCCATTCACATTTCGTCTACGATCGGTTTGTTCACTAAATAATTATTTATAAATAATAAAATATGGTTACAAATAATGAGAACACAGCTTGACAAACATAGAAAATACAGTACTTGGCATAAAAATGGGAGTAGGCGAAATGGGAAAATTGCCGATTCTGAGAGCAGACGAAATGGGAGTAGGCGAATGGGACTGCAAAAGACAAATTCAGTATTATATATAGTGATGGGAATCGGTTGGAATTTCATCATCGTTTATCGGTGGCACCAAACCGATCTATTTATTCGATAAACTCTGTTGACGGTTGTAATTCGATACACGACTCGAAAAAAACAATGCCAACGCCCGCTGACACATATGCACTGCCAACGCCCGCTGACACGTATACACTGACGAAAATCCTCGTGACTCTATGAAGCACTCCCCGCGCTCCCTCTCTCTCCCTCTTCCGGATATGTTTAACGCTAATCTGAAATATACAAGTTATAAATGCAAACTCTTCGGAACAATAATCTATTTTCATAATCGAGCGCTTAGTCGGTTGCTGCAAAGACTGACTTTCAATTATAATCGATCATCGGGACATCACTAGTATATTATATTTGCAAAATATGCGCATGTCTACATGGTGTCTTGTTTGTTTAGCAGTGACATAGAGCTGGTGCTTGAAGACCTGGCTGCACGGGAATCACTCATTACCCAGGCACGAGCAAACAGCATTCGACCACCGTTGCTTAGTATCCTTTAAAAATATGGTGAGTTTATGGGATTTCGGATTTAAGGAAAATCCCCAGATCTGCCCAACTGTAGATCGATGTGGATTCTTCATTATTTATAAACAACGGGGTTGTATAGGTGATATCAGGGGCTGGAAATAGTGGTTTATGCCCGCAGGTCCGGGACTTTTCAGCAATATTTTTGGAATATCCGATGAAAGATTTGGAAGGTCCGAATATGAAGTTTCTGACATGTGTACTGTAAAGTATGGGTTGCAGATGTCACAAATAGTAGTTGAGTGATTGGAAATGTAGCGACTGTGGTTGCATAATGTGTTGGTCGGCGGTAGCGTGTTTGATGTAGTATGGATGATGGAGATGCGAAACGGTTGAGAGGGAGTTGTTGTACATGTGGGCAGCAGGTGTGGTTGTCCGGGCGCGCGCGACGTCCTTTGTTATCTAGAAATGTATAAAGGGAAGGTTTGCATTTTTCGACGAAGTACAAGTAGTTTCGGTTTTATTTTGCAAGTTATTTATACAGTCTTCACGAATGAAATTTCTAAACACTGGACCTTCGGTCCACCAAGCCAGCAAAATTTACTGGACCGGACTAAATTTTACTGGACCAATATTATTTTGACATTTTTGACAATAAAGAACAAAACAGTAATATCATTTTGTATTTTACCTATAATAATACCTTCTAATACCTACACTGCTATGATAACAGTAGTAATACCTATCAAATATACATCATATACCTTCTACACACTACAATAAAAGCTGCAAAA